TTTTTTTTTTTTTTTTTTTTTTTTTTTTTTTTTAAATCTAGGTCTGCAGGAGCAATAGCACCCTTGCTCTTTTAAGTATTGATTTCAGTACAGGTCACAAATCCATATTGCTTACCAAGTAATAAATATTGTTGAGTAAATAATGTTGGTGAGGATGTAAACAATGACATTTGATATTTGACCTTAATAAGCCCACAGGGTCAATAAAAATTTGCTGAAGTATGCATCATTTCCGATTTACTAGCTAGGAAAAAAAAAACCAAACCAATCAAGCAAAAAGGAATGCAATAAAAAAATGAAAGAGGATAGTTAAAGTTTCTTATAATTTAAGAATAAATTGATCTATAATTTTCAGTCAGTGCTTGTTTTTTTTTTTTTTTTTTTTTTTTTTTTTTTTAAATCTAGGGCTGGGTACTGGGAAGGAATTGTGCTATTGCTTTAGTCTATGTTTAGGATAATCAGGAAAGGGACAAGACAGGCTATGAAAGCGCTCCACTGGGGACTGTTTCAAGGAAAGTTTTCCTAGCAGAGCGACACTATCAGAAAAATACAAACACTACTTGCAGACAACTGATTTTCCATTCCCAAATGGTTTATCTACCCATTTCAACATCATGTGAAGAAGCTGCGTCACAGTAATGCTTTTGAAGTCATAGTTAAATAATGCTTTCATTAACAAAGGAAACTGCATGTCCAGAACAAAACTATTTATCAACACCAGCTATGTGTTCTGCCATGCATGAGACTAACATTATGTTATAATTGGTATCTCATAATGCCACTGCTCAAACTAAAAATATTTTATACATATAACACAATAAAAACAAAACTTGAACAACCCCCACATAATCACATATAACTCTTCTCTATCTTTACTTAAAAACCTAATGTCTGATGTTAAGCATTCATTACCTTTGCAATTCTAATATTTCATTTGCAATTTCGGTTCCTATACTTCCAGCACCAAGAACTGTTCCAGAGGACATTCCAGGTACACTTACTAAAGACTGTTTTACAGCATCTACAGTTAAAAAAAACCAAAGTAAAACCTTAAGTTTGTAGCAGTTTCATTAGGCAGCAAGGAACAATCACCTCAAGGATTCATTTCAAAGCAGTTTTTGTTCTGTATCTCTTATTTTCAGAAGTTAAATTCCTTAAAACACTAACTGATGGGGGAGGCTGTTGTCTCATGTAAAATATAAAGATAAGGAATATATTTGTGAAAATCACTGATCTCCAGTAATGAAATTAGCTTTAATCATTACCACCTCCAGTCTCTCTCACAGACAATGCACAACACATCAGAAAAAAACCCCTTTGATTTTTCACAAACTGAAATCAGTTATTAAAAAGAAAAATTTCAAAAGCAAAAATAAAAGACCTTACAGCAAGATGACAAAAAAGCATGTAGAAATCAGAATCTACGCACAGCAGAAAAATATTAACAAAATAATATCAGTATCACCTATATATTCTATAGGTAAACTCCAATAATACAATTGCATTTCTTAAAAAAAACAGGAAAAATATGAAGAGGGTCTGTGACAGAAGCATAATATCCTGTCAACCAAAATCCTAGTTATAGTAGAAGGAAAAGATGTGCTATAAGCCCTTCTGATCAGAGTTATGTGAATGATATGAATTAGGATGCTGTGAGTAACTAGAAATTGTCACCAGAATTAGCTTTTAAAAAAAAAAAAAATTCCTTCCTTGCACAAGAACCTAGTATAAAAAAAAAATTCCTGCACTGAATAAACCTAAAATTGTAATGATTGATCAGGAGATGCACCTATGGTAATTGTAAGAAGCAACACTTGCCTTCTGCAGGCTGGGAACCATGGGGGACCTGTTCTTCAGCTGACTCATTATGACCTCTGAGATTTAAATTAAAAAAAAAAAAAATCAGCAAGTTTTTCAAAGGCAAAACCCAGCATATTTATGTTTGATTTCACAAATACTTTACACAGAGTAAAACCCAACATCCTCAAACTAGCCAAAAAAAAAAAAAAAAAAGAAAAAGAAAAAGGAGATATTCCTCACATGTTTCAATGTTCAATCCCTTGTACTGTTGTTCATGAAACACTGGGTGAAATATTAATTTCTACTTATTCTCCAAATAGAGAAGAAAGGCCAATATAGTTGTCTGTGTTCCATGACAAGAGAACAAGGCTACCATTTTACTCCTAGGTGGGAGACCAGTTAAGCAGAAACACTGCTACAAGGGCAGGTCAGTGGCTACCTTCTGCCAGCAGCTGCTGCCTACCTTCCCTCCTCTAGACAGCTGCAGATGCCCAGATCTCCAGGGCAGGCAAAAGTGGCCTTTGGCTGTTGGGCAGCATACACTGTCTTAACTGCTCTTCTCTGTGCTCTTGAGGAAAAAGGACATGGGCAAAATAGGTAGTTTGATTTTAGAATGGCTAAAAGGCCCCCTTGACAACTTGGTTTAATGGAAATAAAATCCCTCTCTGTCCCCCTCTCAAAAACCCAGACATTAGCAAAGATCCTCAGTATCATTGGAACAATCCAAATTATAGCTCCATTGCAAGGCACAGAGAATGAGAAAGAATTAAAAATAAAGAACAAATAATTAAACACATACATTTACTGTCTCACAGGCTCCTCCCTTGCAATCCATTTGGAGAGTATCTTTTTGTCCTGCCTTGCATTTCTACGATCAGTTATGCTTCTCCACATTCTGGCACATAGTAGGTATGGTAGCACTTAAAATTCAGTCAAATGACACATGCAGTCTTGTAAAGCTCAGAAGGAAAAGCAGAACTAACTTCACATTTCCATTTATTCATATCTACTTTTAAGAAACGATCCTTCCTTTCTTCCTTTAATAAGAAACTCTTTCACCTCATTTTTTCTACTGGAAATAACACAGTTTTCAGAGTTAAATCCATGACTTAAGCCTGAAATAAAAATAACTGGTAAATGCAAAAAAAAGTTCTGCCAGGTTACTCAACTACTTTTTGTGCAGTGTTGACATTTTCTAGTCTTGTTCTCCTTCTTAAACAGGTTGCTTTCTGTTAATGCTAACTGCAATTAAGACAAAAAATAACATGGGAATTCATATCATGAATTACTTACAATACCACAGTGTTGTTTGATACAATGTACTCCAGTTCTTTGGTCCACGGATTCATGAAACTAAACCACTGACTCTTTAAAGTAACAAAAGTCCCATCTTTTGCTCTAAATTTGTAGGAATTTGTAAATACTTTTTCTTTATTCTGCAACACTAGATAAGAAAGGAGTTGTAATCACCATATTTATACTCGGAAAAATAAAGTTTAAAAAATTATCTATTTTATAGCATCATAAAACTAAAATGTTTTTGATGGCTAGAAATACAACTTAAATGCCAAACAACTGACAGGACAGGACCCCTGCTAAAAATCAAACTACAGTTTCAGCAATGTTATTAATCTTGAATTAAAGCCCAAGTACTAGGTTTCTACAAATCACTAGTAGGGAGACTCCTGACTTGGTGAACTTTCATAATTGGTGTCTTTAATTACATGATTAGGCACATTTGTTCTTCAGGACTCCTTCCTTATTCTTACAAAGAATTGAAACAGGGGGTTGAAAGAAGCATTATCATTATTCCCTTGTAATTAAAGCACTGCACTGAGATCCAAGACAACAGAAGTTTCTCCCTGCTTGTATTACAAACTTTATGTGGGCACATCTTAATGCAGACGTAGAAACGGACAATACTAAGATTGTTTAGTTTGATTAATTCTCAGCTTCTGATTTTTTGATTTGTACTGTTTTTACACAGCAGTTACATGTAGTTATATGAATTCTGGCAGGACCAATTATTTTGTACCTTCTTTATGTTTTTCAGCTAGATGACTGTGGTCATCTTGATGGCAGTACTCGTAACAAGAAGTTCCTAGAAGCTCTTGTGGCAGATAGCCTAAAATTGCTGTTGCACTGTTAGAAATAAAAACATGAACTACAGCAGATTCAAACAATTGCAAAGCTTGTTTTCTTCAGTATCAGATAAAGCAGAAAATTAATGTTTAAAGAAGTAGGTGCTTGTGTTCATGTTTGCGAAAAAGATACAGCATTAGTATAGCTCTAAAACAACAGGAAATATTATTTACTGCAAATTATCCATTTGCAACGAATGGCAATTAGAAGACAAAATAACGTGTTAAACATGCAAACCACATGTACACACGAAATATTTATGATCATTAGGTTTTCCCATTAGCCAGTTAGGGTACTGGTCACACATAATGAGTCATTCAAAAAATTCAGTAGTTCAATTTTGTTCTGCTGCTTTAAGAATAGGTTTAAACGGACATTTTTAGATGAAAGACAAGACGACCGAAACAATAAAAAGCTTCCAGTGACAAAACAAAATTCAAAATGCAGAGTGGTAACTCAGTCTATACAACAAATAAAAGTCTCTTTTAGAAAAATCAGAAAATAGGAACTTAGCTTTCACTTCTAATGAAATATTTTGGTATCAGATTCAGATATAATGTATGTGTTCCACATAGCAAGATTTTAAGAAGTAATAATTTTTGGTTAAGTGTTTATTACTTAAGTCATATGCATAGCTATGAAGCTCTAACTTGAGATTTTTCTTTATGAATAAATAAGTACATCAGTGCATTTTATGACATATTTTAACCTTGCTAGCTCATCTTTTCCTATAGAACAACACGCTTACTTTTATACATTACGTTTTATGTTTGACAAAAACCCAAAGCCCAAGTACTCATAGATTGAGTGAACTGCTTCCTGTGTACAGCACCTAGAAATTCTATCCTGCTTGAGAAATTACAGTTCTGACAAAGTATTAGAAAATTTAACTAATGGTGTCATTTTAATTTTCTCTTCATTAAAGAACAAAACGCTTACCGCTGATCTACATAAACAAATTTTCCATCCATGGCAAATCGTGTAACAAATTCTGTTGCTTTGACTTTTATCTCTCCACTCTTTTGTGGAACAATATAAGGGTGTAACCTCCCAATTGCAACAAGACAGTTAAAGTTACTACTGTCCTTTTCTACATCATTTTCCTCTTCTACTCCCACCTCATTAGGAGGCCAATTCTTCATATACCCAGTACAGTGAATGGTACAATATTTTCTGTGATCTAATAAAAAGAAATGAAATAAGAAGCAGTTATGGTTCAAGAAGTAAACTGAATTACTTTTTTTTTTATTCTGTCGTTCACCATGAGACTAGCAACTATATTTTATACTTACCTACAACAACTGTACAAGGCTATAGATAATTGTACAGACTATTTTTAAATTCATTTTGTACTACTTCATTTTGGCTTACCTGGAGAGAGTGCTCCTAAACCTACATAAGATTTAGGAAGATAAGCTATAGGTGTTGGCAGTTCAAACACAGACTCACAGGAAAAAAAAAAAGTAAACCAACAGTCTAGTAACCCTTTCTCTTTATACAGTTTCATAGGTACTGTAAATTAAAATAAACTAGAGAGGCACTCTAGTAGCTTCCAAATCAATTTAACCTTTTGCTAACACTATGATCTTAACATATGCTTACTGCAGTTGCTAAAAGAATCAGTCAAGAGAACAACCCAAAACAACCTAGCTTATTTTCTATTTATATTAGGCTTCTGAATTCCTCAATTTTCTGGGAACACAAATATTTTAAAAGTCTTAAATTACAGCATACACTGTCATTTATTCCTATGGCTGGTAGACTCTTTGCTGTCTATGTAACATGCAAACACCCTCATATGCATCAAGGCATAGAGATGACATTATGTGACCTACAGTAATTATCTTTCAAAAAATTGCCAAAGTATTCTTGATATCTGTATTCCGAACAAATTATGCTTTACATAGATTTGACTGCATTAACCCTATCAACTATGGAAAACATAGAACAACCCTGTCAAATGAAAAACTGAGTTATCCTACTGTGACTTTGTCACAGTTTCTCAGATGGTCCATGTGCCTTCCTTCAATACTGCTTTCCCGAGAAACATTTATAAAAGTCAAATTCTTATCTCACCAAGTTAGCTGGCACATCAAGGTAGACTTAATTCTATTTACTTACAATGACAGACCTGTTTTAAAAATTATTATTGTATGGTATATCTCAACAATAACAGGTTATTTTTTCAGGGTCAAACAATTTCAGCACACCTTTGCAAAAATCAATACTAAGGTATTAAATAAAAACTGGAAATTACTTTTTAAAAAGATCCATTCACTCAAAACTTGACAAGAGTATACTGCTGTACAGACATACCAAAATATGAACTAAATTAAAATTATTGGGAAAATGAATGGAATTACACTGATAAACTAACTTTACTATTAAAAGCAAAAAAAAAGGAAAATTCATACTTTTTAAGTACACACAACACAAAAAGTAAATCAGAAAATGTTGGTTTACTTGCTTTTTTTCCTTCAAAACAGTAGATTTTGCAGGCCTTATTCAGTTATCTTCAAGACATATGTTATTTAGTTTCATTCTTCTGATCTGCTCCAGTGTTCTCAAAAATCTCCCTGAGACTTCTAAAATTTGACTACAACAGACCATGCGCTCCTAAACAGACACTGTAACTCAGGTTCCTCCTTCCCTCTTTTCCAGGAGTGAATAGGGAGGAGAAAGAGTACAGTTAGACTGTTTTTCAAAATGTGTCTCCAGTACATATTTACACTTCTCTACAGCTACCTTCTAAAGTCAGTGATAACTACAAGGGTCACACTACTGACTCAGAACTTAAATATACCAAGTTTCAAGACAGAAAGCCCCAACTTCATCTACACTGTTTGAATACCTTTCTTCTTTGGGTTGGGCAAGCACTCCTTTTCTTCTTTGACTGTGGTTCTACTACATTTTATCCGACAGAAGAAGGAACGTCGAGCACCAGAACTCAGTCGAGCTGGTCCAGCTTGAAAATCTGTGTGTACTTGCAAGCCAGCTTACAAAAATTTAGTAAAGTAGTTAAAAAAACGAAATCCAACAATAAAACTTCAGAATACAAGGCCTTTTCTTCAGTTTAGCTTCCAGCACATCTCCTTACTCTTCAGTTGTCTAAATTTTGTCCTTACAATTAAAAATGAAAAAAGTCTAATAACTTAAATACGGCAAAGAAAACGTGACTGTCACACAGATTCCAAAACTAAAAAGAACTACCAAACTCTTTCTAAACCTACTTGATATTTTGAATGGTAGTTTAATAAATATGCTTTATAAACTTTCAACTTCTATTTGGTACAAGAAAGAACTGCAAAGATGTTTATAAAAGCCAGCTATAAAACAGTGATTAGCTGCACAGTATATAATGTTTTCCATATTAGAAACAACTGTAAACTAAATAAGATTTGGTTAAATTAGGATTGACACTTAGCATTTTCAGAGAAGACAGTGATTCTTGATATTGAAGTATTTTATCCCATGTTCGACTACATCAGGTCTTTTGTATTGACAAGACCTATCAAATACAAGAAAAAAAAGTAGTATGCCTGGTAGGAAGAATGTCAGACTACATCTTGGTAAATGTTTAACAATGCAAATTTCAGTCATTCTTATTATCTAAAAGAAATTCTTTTCTGGGCTAACTTTTAAACTGTAAGTGCATTCTAAGCAGCAGATAAGCATTCAAATGTGTCTGGTCCATAGAAATTATACCTCAAGTTTATACATCAATGCACATATGAACACATGAATATGTCCTGCATAATAACTATATTTATTAACATCTCTTTAAAAAAATCTGAGCACATTCAAATATGACTTACTTTTCCCATCTACGAGCTTCTCCCTAGGAGAGATATCTGAAGAAGAAAGTTGCTCCTTAACTTTTGCAACATCTTTTGGATGCAAGTAATCAAACAAACTTTGTCCAATTAAACTGGCCTATTTAAAAAAAAAAAACAAACAAAAAACCAAAAGATAAGAAACACATCATTTAGAACAGGACCCCATACATATTACTTATCTCAGAAAAACAACTTTCTACACCACTTAAAAAAAAGTCAAATACCACAGTTACTCTACACACCAACATTTTGATCCACATTTAATTTGCCATTGTTTAACATTATTTTTATAGAAATAGGGTAGTAAAAACATAATCTGTTACTTCCCCTTTGCAAAATAGCAGATTTAGTTGGATATTAAAAACAGTTCTGTAAAACCAAATGTTTTATTTATGTACATAATATAATTCCTGATCCTAGCCAAAGAAGGTTATGCACAAAACAGCTCCCCTCACAGATTATTGCGGGGGGGAAGGTAGGGAAATAGGAAGAAATATTCATGCTACCTAACAACTGAGCTCTAATGTGGTTGGACAAAATGGCATCACTGAGCCAAGAGCTGCCTGGAATCAGGGGTCAGCAGGTCAGCTCACTTCAGCACTCCTTAGGAGGGGATATTTACAGGAATCTCTCCAGCTGGGATCCATTCAACCTGCTGACTCTGCTGATCCAAAGTAACCGGTCTGCTGCACTACTGTAGGCAGCGCTACTTGCTTTTGAAACAGGAAGGAATTCTCACAGAAGTGGGCTAGTTTGCATTTTTTGACTGCCTACCTTCACTGCAGCAGATCAAATCAATGGGTAGAAAGGAGCTGTGTTGACAAGCAGTATTCTAGATTCAAATTGCAACTCATTTTGGACCATGCCACTTGCTATGTAATCACTGCATGCATGAAGGGGAGCACTTTTCCAATAAGCCAGAGTCAGAAATGGGTTTAATGAAAAGCTTCTAAGAAAGCAGGATAAACATACAGCCTCTTTCATTTGCCCAGTCCCCATCTAACCCTAATGCAAAGGCAAAATGCTGAGTGCCACTGAGAAAGGCTAATAGCAGCCTTGTCAAAATATACAGGTGTAACAGATGTAAGCTGCAGGATGGGATTCATAACCTAGAATAGTTCCCAAATAAGCTAATAAATTCATGGTTAAGGCAGTCATGTTCTCTGAACCTCTTTGGCTGGAACAGTGAAGACCTTATGGATCTGGAAGTAGGTAAGTCTGATGTGAGAGACTCCAAAAGGTACTTTTTAGTCCTTGAGTAAATCCAGTGTAGAAGTTTAAAAAAACGAACAAAAAAAAATCTGCTTTATGCTTGTTCCCGTAAGATGATTCATTTCACTTCTATTTAAAAAGATACAGTTTTGTTTTGGTTTTTTTTTAAATAAAAATAATAATTAAAAAATCTATAAAACAGAGTCCAGATTGGTTACCCTTCCGTTTTGAAGAAAATGAACGTAGCACAAATGGTTTCAAAGTTATAGTAGACAGATGGAAGCACTAACAGTTTTAGCCTCTGTTTTTGGAACAGAAGTCATAGATACATGAACAAGTTATCACGCCTTGATTATTTGTGGTAATTGTCCATGATGTTAAATGTCAACTAATGGAAGGTACACTTAAATTTTTCCTATTTCTCTCATTCTACAGGCTAAGCTAACTCACACTATATCAGTTTCTTTCAAGTTAAGGGTATAAACATGGAGAGTTATCGTGGATGAGGCGTTATGCATTGCATAAAGGCATTACCAAGGAAAGTTTTAACTAATTTACACTGCTGAACTACCAATTTTCCTTGGCCTAAAAAAAAAAAAAAACAACAAACCAAAAACCCAAATCACTTCACCATTTAAAAGAAAATCTCTTGGAGATAGAAATTAGGACATCTTCAAATCATCCCTTCCTCTCAGATTAGCAGTTTTCTTAAAGATGATCAGTTGAAATCTGGTGCTATTACTCAGGTCAGGAACACTGACTGTACTTGCAAATATTTCATTCCACAATATTCAGCCTTACTCTGAAGGAGGTTAAATCAAAGAAATTCCAAGAAATAATACACAAGGACTGTTTTTTAGTAACATACAGTAAAATGGAAAAGTTTAAAAATTTCTAAGAAAATGCAAGGTAAAAGTAAACCAAGAAACCCAGTTGTAACCACCTGATCATAATTAAGTATTTTGCAAACTGATTCAGAGACAAACAGAATTTTTCCTCTGTTGCATCCAACCACAAATAGGAATCCATCTGCGGCCTGAAAATATAAAGATAATGTCTTTAAAAACATACAATTAAAATATGCAATGAATATTGATGACTACAAGGAAGCACACTTTTAAACCTGGTTTTTTTAATTAAATAAGTTATAAGTCACACCAAAAAGCAATTAAGATTGCAAGCACCAAATCAGACCTTCAACTACAGACAGCTGAAGTTTCTTAAACACAGCTTTGGGAAAAGAGGTGGCTAGCTGCAAAAGAGCTTAACTTGGGAGTCATCTTACAAATCTTGGTGAAGTCTGTTATTGCAGCAAAGGAAAAAGAAAATAGTTGCAAATGAGAAAGGGTAAAGAGGTGTGGGTATATGATAAAACGCAAAACCAAGAAGATTGATTTTCTTTCAGGTATTATTTCTGCATCTTTTTCAAAGTACATCTTTAAAAATTTCAATGAAGGAGAGCAAACAATTGCAAGTATATTTATGCGTAATTAAAAGCATTCTCTATACTTGCATGCAGTCTTCAATATCAACATAAACAATTTTATGTATTAAATACACAGATGGTATACAGATTTATTACCCCTTCAAGGGCTGCTGTCTGCCATGCTCACAAATCATCTTCTGTAACCCTTCATGAAAAAGCCTGTATAGTGTACAGCGTTTATAAACCAGTACTTACCAAGTACATCAAAGCACTTGCTTGAAGAAAAAGATGGTGAAAAAAAGTACTCTCCAACTAAAAACTCAAGTTAATGGCAAGCTTTAATAAGGACATCTTTTAACTGAGAGTTTCCTTCCACTTACCCTAAGGATTAACTGTCGGAGCTCATCATCCTTTAAAAATGAAGGTTTATACCGGACTTCTGTATAGGAGCTAGTGGAACCTGAAAAAAATATTTTTTGTAGACATAATGTCAAAACTTACATTTTAAATTTACTTTTAACAGTTATACTTGGTTTGTATTTTATAAATTTTCTCTGCAACCATAACAGCTGAATTAAAAAAAAAATTCTAAAAATATTAAAAATAAAAAAAACCCTCATAAACATATGCTGGTAATGAATATGGGCACACAACCAATTTTTTTCTTGCCCTTTATTTAGCATAAAACAAGGAAACTTCTGTTCAGATATCTTTAATGTACTGCTAGAGAAACGGTATTATGAGAACTGAACTACCTAGAAACATTTTGTAGGCTTATTTCAGAATCCTTAATATCTGCTGAATCTGAAAAAATTCAATGTTATCAACTGCCATGAATAATGCTTCATTAGTACTATATATCCAACAATCCAAAAACCACTCTATTGTAGTTAAATTTAATGTCTCACTAAATGCAATGAGACTGACTCACTACCTTTTCTGTTCTAGCACCTGTGGCAAGTAGTCTAAAATAATTTTTAGCCATTACAAGCATTTCCACAGTTTTTCTGGATTTTTTTTTTTTTAGGTAAATAGCAGTTGAATTTTCCAGTAGATTCCAGCATTCACTATAATTCCACATAGTATCTTGTATTTTCTTAAAGCATTTGTTTTGAAGATACATATAACAACTGTGTTGGATGGAGTCCAGTTTTCATATCCTATTGTTACAATACAAATGTTTGAGCTGAAGATTTCTTGTAGATGCTTGTTTAAATTGCAAGTGCAAATACTGCCCTGCTAATTTGTCACTTTATTTCTTTGTGCAAAATTCTCAGCCTGCTTGGGCCAACAGAAATCCTCTAGAAATCCTTTCCAACCAACATTATTCTATGATTCTATTACTGTCAAGTTAGTAGCATAATTCATTTCCTACACTCCTTTGACTTAAGACTAATAGGGTTCTTATTAGATACGTTTATTCATAATCAACATTTGCAATGCAGATAGTCTTTGATCTTTGCTTACAGTTGACCAAATTATTATTCAGAAACAGTGCTGCCAAAAAAACTGAAATCTTGTGTGCTGCTGATAGACCATAAGATATGCAACTTGGTTTTGGATATAATTTTTTTAGGGGAAGAAAAAAAAATCCCCAAATCTAGCAATAGCAAGAGGAGAGGAAAAAATAGATCCTGTTTTGATCCTGACACTAAACCATTCACTAAGATCCATGATTAACTTCGCTAGCTGACTGAGGATATAAACTTTTGATAATCTTTTTCTTGGTCCTCTCTAACATTTCAGGTGTTTAAGACTTTAATGTAATCAAAGTCATCAACATTCTGTTAAAGTATGTTTTGTCTTGAATCATTCCTTTTGACTACTGTTCTTGCAGCCAAAAAAAAAAAGTTTGAAAGATGCTTATGTTCAAACATAGTTTTTTCTTTAGTTTTACGCAACTAGTTTTGGTTTAGTGAAGTTCCACCGTAAAAGACTTAACCTATCACTGATGTGAGTTCTCTGTGCTCCCTACCAGTGCAACTATTTACATCAGTTTCTTCAGGTAAGCTTTTTTAATGGTCTTTTTCCATGATGTTGTAGATTTCAAAGTCAACAGATAAACATGAAATTCCAATACAGAGACAAAGGGCTGATGCAATCACAAAAGTGGGAATAACAAACAGGAGTATGAAGACCCTTTGCTTCTCTATTAGCAGTATAGCTGTTGGCATTGGTACAGCAGCACAGATACTACTGTTCCAGAAAGTATGATGGAAAGCGGAGAGATCACAGAACACACATTTAATTTGGGGGTTGGAAAATAATGAAAGACAGAGTTGCTTGATAGCTGTAATTTTTAAAAAGAATCAAGGAGTGACTCAACTGCAAGGCATACCCTTAGCAGACAGAAAATATCAGACACTGAAGGGCAGCTTTTTTTCTACTATAGCAAACATGAAGGAGAAATTAAGTTCTGGAAGCTACAAACATGTAAATTTAAATGAAGAACAGACCCCGGACTGAATTCAGTAAGGAAACATAAAATAAATTACCTTTGACTTATTTAACATCAAAGAAGATACATAGTATAACTCCTGATAGAATAAGGACTTTCAGGATTAGTTTCCCAAAACCCACCTTTTAAAGATTTTAAGTGTTGCACAGCCATCCGTAACACTGTAAGCTTGTCTAGCTTTCGTGCCATGGGATTGCACTGAGGTATCATAGCAGACAATTCCTCTATCAAATTATTCATTTTGTCTCTTCTTCGTTTCTCTGTTTGACTGTGAGCCTCTCTAAGAAGAAACAAATGTTTTAAGAAAGATGTAGAACACATGATTTTCTCCATAATATTAATCAAATCAATTTTGGGAACAGAACGTATCACAAAAAGAACTACTGCACTGAAACAGTTTTTTATACACTGCTTGTATTTGACGATGGAATTGGATTCAATTGAACAAAGCAGAAATGGTCACAATAATGATCTGAAATATCGAGGGGAAAAATATCTCAAGCAACAACTTGATTCTATGAGGCAGGAACAAAAAGCTATGAAGACTTATAAAAGTTAAATTCTTCTTGTGACCCTTGACATCCAAGTGAATAACCTGACACCTTACTATATACCAGAGAACTTTTGATGTCATTAGAAATCACCAGAAGATATTTCTGCCCTATCTCTACCTGGCCTGTGTAACTAAGATGGGGTATTCATGCTGCTACATTTTTTTTTTTTTTTTTAAACAAGGAATGCTCTAAGCACTTGCTAAAGCATCTCTGAACTGTTTTATGCAAACTCACAACAATCTGAGATTAGCCATGTCTTCTTGTTATCTCATTACCTTAAAAATTACTCAGCTTGAAGACAGAGACAAACACAAGCATTTATTCATAGCACAGCATAAGCAACAGAAAACACATTTACATGTGGTTATAAGAGATGTAGTGGAAAGTGAAATAAGAAGCTATGCCTCATCTAATTTAACCAGAGGTATTTCAGAAAGCTTTCCCCTTCATTCACCTGATAAGGTGGTTGGTAGAAAGGGTTTCAGCCTCTATGCACACCTTGCGTCTCAGGTTTCATCTCTTGGCAAGCCTCTGTCCAAGAACTCAGCCACAGAAACAGAGCTTCTCTTCTTGGACAGTTTTCATGAGAAAACCCCTTCTAAGGCACATGACAGTGCACATCACAAATATGTTTACATCTCAGGTCACTTTTTCTTTAATTCTTTCTAGTGGAGTATGTTAGCTTTCCTAGCTGTTCTCCCCTCTAACAGATCAAGAAGTTTAATTCATTCTAGTCCCTCACCCAGAAGACAAGCTAGCCACTCAATTAAAATGAAGATTATTTTCCTTTCTGATTGAGACCAGACACAGTGGTAGTTAACCAAACTGATGGACAACATGGTTTGGTTAACTGGTCTCCAAAACTCTTCCTCTTAGGCATACTGTAACAGAAAGCATTAAACATAATAAAGTTAACTACATCTGGCCTGTTGAGAAAGAACAAACTACAGTTTTAAAGACCCAGTCTTCCATTATTTTTATTATTTTTCCCCAAAATAATTCCCCCCTCCACACAAATAATTCTGGGTCACTCATCCAAGCAATTAGCTTTTCTCTCTCCAAAGCCTTTTTAAAAATTTAATTTTATCAGTTATTCTTAACTGTACAAGTTCACCCAACTTTTCCTTCATATCAGGTAGGAACAGTCAAGTAATATATTGTGTATGTTCCTCGAACTGTGAACCTCAGGAAGACAGTTACAAACATTTGGGGAAAGAGAACAATTTTTCACATCTCTAAGAGTCAATAAGAAGTTATAGAAACCTGAACAGGTGGATGCAGAAATTCAGGCAATGATGAGATGATTCTAAAAGCCTGCTGTTACACTCCCCAGTTACAAAGGGGAAGGGAGAAAAGCAAGTTCTCCAATAAGCTTGCAAAAAGAATCACTGGAGGAAGATAACTGTTAAGCAAACCTTCAAAGTGTCTTCTAATTATTTTTTTCCCTCCAACTAATGAACAAAAACTTAAGGAAAAAAATTAACAATACAACATGAAAGTTATTAAAGCAATGTACAAAACAGAATCTTGTATAGCAACCTGGGAAACTCAGTAAAGAAATATAAATTTTTGAGTTAAACAAAAAAATTGTAAATATATTTTGGAACACTTTCATTTGTTCCATTTATTTGAAATTACAAGAACACTTCATAATTATTAGTTAGCGTACTGCATAAATAATGCTTTTGACAGCAGATTGGATTATGTATTTCTGCTTTGACATCTCTGCTCACTTGACAAATGAAAGACACTTTTATTTTAAAACAACTTTATAAAGCAGCTATAGTTTTATTAAGTGGCTTGTCTATAGTTTAAAGTATTTGTTTGGATGAATCATGACTGCATTCAGTCACACAGCATTTCAAATCTTACAAGTGCTTTATGTGAGTTTCCATTTGGATTCAGGTAAGATGTGAATTCAAAGTGCAATAGCACACCTTGAATAATTCCCTATACAAAAACTTGTTCCAGAACAAGAATTCTTTGTCATGCTTTAGCTGAATCCATTTTCATGTGGGATAAATTTTAAATACCTCCAACTGTAGACAAATCTAGAAAAAACAATTCCCACATTCATATAGACTAAGAATCAGCTCCTCCCTTTATACGCGACTTGAGCGTACTGCATTTAATTCTCACCTCAAAAATTTTAACCTCAGGTTTTTGTTAAGCCATCTGAGACATTCTGCAACACCACTTTCATTAAAATTAGTAGAAAATAAAATCCTCAAGGAGGCTCTAAAAATTACTATACATTTAGGTAGAAAAAGGAAAAGTTTGCTGTTGAATATTTGACAGTTCTAATGAACATTACCCCAAACTCAAATTTTACTATTGTCAATCCTAGTATTTACTAGCAAAATGTACTTTATTATAAATTAGTACCTGAAATCTTTTATTTTAACATGTTCCTCATCTTCACTCCTAGAGAAAACAAGACATAGTTTTACATTGCATATTTAATACTAGGCACTTCTTTCCTCCCACAAATTCAAAGATACAGAAAATGCTACAAATTTACTATGGCTCTAACAAAAGCAAACCCACAAAAATTCCTAATACAAAAATGATCTAACAAGTGATGCATAACAGAAAGAGACCAAAGCATAACTTCCAATATGCATAGTTATGTGAACATATTATGGGGATATTTCACAATTACGGGGCTATTTCTACCCTAGAGAAAACAAAACTAATGAAACATTCACGTAACTTACGTCCAGCCTTGATTTTTTTATTTTTTAAATTTAAAAATTTACAAGAGACATTATCTATTCATTTTTTTATTTCCAAAATCTTATTGTCAAAAGATGAAAAAAGCAACCCTAACCTAGACAGGGTGTAAAATACACTTCAATTGCTCATGGTCAGAAAAAGTAAAAATTAAGTATTTTGCCATATCATACAGCACTGACTGGGAAGTCTATGTAATAAAATTGTAAATGAAAGACAATCATAGTGTCTGTATCATGACAAATACTTGGCAGCAGGAAAATATAAAGGACGATTCAAACAAGGGCAATGATCTTTTTTCATCCTCAAGGTCACTGTATTCTTCACCACCATCTATTAAGAATTTCAGAATGTGGCCTAATAGGTATCTTGCCAATTCAGTACGTGCAATTTGGTACTTGCAGAGAGGTAGTTCCCATACAAATATGGGCTACTATTTTCTCTAAAAGAAAAACTGATACAAATATTTTTAATCTTTCAACAGCAGTTCTTCGGCTTTTTTTAATTCAGCAGTGGAAACATCTCACGCAGCACTCTAATGTCCATTCCAGAGGAGAGACCTGCTAGCCTATAACCATTTTAGAAGAGACATATGTTGTACCAGAAGGCTTAGAAGGAGACTGGCCAATCAGTCAGCATCTGTTTCTTATGAGGAAATGGAAGTAGGAAGCAGAACAGTTAGAGATTACAGCTTTAGGAAAGACCCCAAAAGCTGCTTCCACCTGTAATTAAGCACTGACTCCAGCAGCCAGAGCCAAATTAACATACAATTCAGAGATCCACCTCTTCAACCTGGGATTTCACTGGAACCCAGGAATTTTCTAGACAGTCTGGTAAACCCTAGGCTCACAAGACCCTAGGCCTTTTCTTCAGTGAAATTGTTCCAGATTTAGATGAGTTAGCAATAAGTAATATTTTTCTTTCATTTTAAAAGAAACATTTACCAGAAATGTGCATATAATATGAACAACAGAAGTTCCATTGTCTGACCGCAAGAGGAGAAGAGGTACGGGGGGGCAAGACCAACTGCAATGCAGCATGTGGCCTATTAACTAATTCTCCTTCTCCCTCAGGAGCTCCACTTGGGGAAGAAAGTAGAACAAATTTGCTGCTCAAGCAATCAGTCACAGCCTTCAATGGATTTATATAGCTTCTGTCCTAACAGCTGTGTTGTTACTGATATAAATAGCTAGATTAAAACTACCTTGACTATGTGAACATAGGGTGAAATTCTACCTCATGGCTATAATGTAGGTATACTTAATTGGTACTAGAAAGAACAGAATCTGTATTAATCAGGAAAAAATAAGGAATACCACCTTTCCCTCTAATTTCTCAATTGATTTATTAAACAGACTTCGCCATTTCTTCTAAAATGGAAGCAGAGGTTTTAAAGGCAGAAGAGGAGTATTTTTACTCACACTTCTCTGTCATGAGCACCATGGAAAAAATCCACAAAGAAACAAATACTTTATTCCCAAAGAAAGATTTTTATACTACCCAATAAGCCATGTACCAAACACAGACTTCCCTGCAGAAAGGGATCTGGGGGTGCTGGCTGACAGCAGGCTCAACAGGAGTCAGCAATGTGCCCTGGCAGCCAAGAGGGCAAACTGCAATCTGGGGTGCATCAAACACAACGTAACGAGCTGGTCAAAACAGGTGAGCATCCCACTGTACTCAGTGTTGTTATGGCCTCACCTTCAGTACTGTGTGCAGTTCTGGGCCCCGCAATTTAAGAATGATGTTAAGGTCCTTGAATGCATCCGGAGGAGGGCAACAAAGCTGTTGAAAAGGCTGGAAGGAATGTCCTATGAGGAGCGGCTAAGAACTCTGGGTTTGTCTAGTTTGGAGAAAAGGAGGCTGAGGGGTGACCTCATGGCTCTCTACAGCTTCCTGTGGAGGGGAAGTGGAGAGGGAGAGGGAGGTGCTGATCTCTTCTCCCTGGTACCAGTGATAGGACATGTGGGAATGGCTCAAAGCTGCACCAGGGGAGGTTTAGACTGGACATTAGGAAACATTTCTTTACTGAGATGGTGGTCAAACACTGGAACAGGCTTCCTGGGGAGGTGGTCAATGCCCCAAGCCTGTCAGTGTTCAAAAGGCATTTGGAAAATGCCCTTAACGACATGCTTTAGCTTTTGGTCAGCCCTAAAGTAGTCAGGCAGTTGGACTAGATGATCATTGTAGGTCCCTTCCAACTGAAATATTCTATTCTATTTTATAAAAAAAGAATACTGCACAGCTACATATAAACAAATGTATTTTCTAAGTAAGGTATGCAGGTGCAGAAAAAGAAATCACAACAAAGTAATCATGTAATTAATAACTATCCCATAACATATACACACAAAGGGTTTACTTATGCTGCACAGCCCATAACTCTGGTTTGTCACCTTGCAATAGCATTATTTTAATATAGTTGTGGTAGTTCTATTTTACAAAGCACCTGACCAGATTAAAACAGACAGACAAAAATGTTTACATGCACCAGTCCTAGAAGAGTATGAGACCTTTCCTTCACCTCCCTAGTCATCTTATTTAAATGTTACTGTTCATTTGTTCCCATTCGTACCTTAACTTCAATACTAAGAAGTCTGGTAAAGTTATAAGCAAGTCAAAGTGTCTTCTTAGAAAGAAATATCAGAAAACCTTAACATTGGATGCACCTATCCATCCTGTCAATGACCTATATGTTTATCACCTTGTGCTGTACAAAGACCTGCCCTTAGACAAAGCATTCCTTAAGGCAAACCACACAGCTCATCTAGCCAACCAGGAAAATGTGACATGATTATAGCACTGAAAACAGAAATGGATTAATTTATAAAAAGTACCTTTTCTGAGGATCACCATCAACTTCAACTGTATCCCTGCAGAAACAGGTAATAAAGTAAGCAAAATGTAGTTTGAAGAACAAAAAGATGACTTGATAAACCCAATGAAAAAAAGTCACAGAAAAATTTTAGTGGAAACCCCACTTGATTAGTTATTTTCAGCAAGAACATTAGTTTTTAGAAACTAATTACTACTTCTTATAAAACAGTACTTTTTCAATTAGTATTTCAACTTGGACATGACTTTTTTTTGGTGACAGAAATTTCATGAAATCAGAGAAAGATCCAAACTTCAGGGAAACGCTATTGATGAATCAGCACTTTTACTGAACAGGTAAAAATCAACAAGTGCTACTGAAAAAGAATGGAGACTTTTTTTTCAGAAACGAATGTACTTCTGGCGTTTTCAGTGAGCTACAAAATACACTTGAATCTCCAAGTTGACAACTGTACCAATATCCACAGTATAGCTACATTCTGTAGATCAATGGACTATATATGGAAGAAGCAGTGATTAAAGAGAACTGCTTTAATAATCACAAATACATGTAAATGTCCTACCTCAGCCCCGCTTTTTAAATGTGGATTTTCCACACTAGTTTGGAGGTACTTGTAATGTGCTAGATCTGCAGGCTGACTTGTGTCCCTTACTTCTGGTGGATTAACATAGCTTTGAACAGATCACTTTTAAAAAAAATATTTTTCTATGTAAATGATTATTTGGTTAACTGGCATCTGTTTGGCAGTTATAAAAGAGGAGAAAACAGTGACAGTATCATCTCAGTAGTCAAGTATGACCCACTTAAAAAGACTGGGTACTACTGTAGGACAGTCCTCATTTTTAGGTCACAGATCTGTCTGGACATTTAAGTAAATGGTTGCCCTGGTCACTAAAGAAGCAGTTCTGATTCTGCAGTTCTAGATCAAAGAGCTTAACTAGTAATCTTGTTTTATGCTTTAAGGTGATATTCTAGTGTGCACTTGTGAGACTTCAAGCAACTTAATAACAATTTGCTGCAAGAAGAACTTGCCTTTACTAGCAGGCAAAGGAGGGAAAAAAAAGAAAAAAAAAAATTAGCATTGAAATTTCAGCATTAGAGACACATTACCCAGACACTTCAGGCCACAAAATGGCATTATAGAATCCCACATATATCCCTTAGATTTAAGGATTATTTTTTCTATTTTTAATAACTCAGGACTGTCAAAGAATGCATTTGGAAGGAACTGTAATAAATAATGGTAATAAATAAAGGTAATAAATAAAGGGAAGAGGATTAGACAGTTACCATGTTGCATAAGTAACAGATGAATGTCTCAAATTTATGTTGAGACACATACAGAATTCATTTACTCACTGGTTATCAGAATCACTTCCTTTGCGCTTCCTTGGAATCTCAATCACAGAAGCATTGAAGGAAGTGCTGGTAGCAGGCTTAGTTATTGGGTTCATGAGGCTGGGGACTCCAGAAGCAATGCATGGGTTTCCATCTATTGAGAAATTATCTGTGAATGAGAAAAAAAGCTCAGTGTCCAGTAAGAGCTATATCATTGTGTATCCATTCTGATTTTCATTTGGAAAAAAAAAATTGTCTGTGGGTGGCTTCTGTGCCTCTGACACAAAAACCATAAAGGTTGCACTGCTACAACCTAAGTACAGAAAAGCGTACATTGTCTTTCCACAGTCCTGTAACTATCTCATCAACCCAATCAACACACCAATGCAATATACAATACACCCGTTCTCCTCCTTACGCAGTCTTAGCAGACTACACTTAAATTCCCCAGCACCTCAAACATCCTCCTGCAAAATCACAAGATGTGGCATTAGCCAGCAGATCAAAATATGGCGACTAACAGTAAATTAAACTTAAATAAAATATATAGTGAACTGTTTTTTAAACAAGCCGGACATCCAAAAAATGAAAGTTTGCCATAGCTATGTTTCTAACATAAAATCTACAGTTACACATAATGTCAGTCATTGAAGTTGGAAGAGTTTTCAAAACTTGTCAAGTTCTACCTCAAAGTTCCCTTCACAATTCTCCTCTCACTGAAAACTGTTTTGTTTCTGGGAGGGACAGAAGAGGAGTCACAAGCCAAAATAATCCTAGCAACCTACTGGGAAAGGAAGAAAGTCTCAAGGAATCTAAGCACTATTACACTTTTTTTCTATCTAAATGAAAAGCTATCAAAAAGAATCACCCAGTTGATGTTTAGGTAAGTCAGAATTAACTCTGTTTCAGGAAAGGTAGGCACTCCTTTAGGATTCATGTGCTAGTGAGGAAAGTATCCTATGTGATACATCTAGAAACAATAAAGAATTCACTCCATGAGAGTCAGATGAGGGACTGAGAGAGGTCATTTAAGAAAGTGAGCATCTCCTACTTTTAGCAGGATGCAAAAACCAAGATGAGCACTTTCAAAATCCAGCAGGATGAAAAACTGGATACTTTATTGTGAGCTTTCTTTTTTTTTTTTTTTTTAGCATCTGTGCTGTCTGTAAATGATAGGTAAAAATGTGTAAAAAGAATGATACGCAGTGTATGTTTTTTTCCTCTTAGGTGTAAGCACATCTTACACCTTCTAGGTTCTCATTTTCTGCTGGAATATGACTCTGGAGAGTTAAATGAAAATAGGCTAATACTTGAACAACAGCTTGCCTGGTCTTCCACTAATCCTCTCTCTACCAAGTCAGACTACACAGAGTCAGCCCCTGTTTTATTTTAGAAAGCTCTTTAACTCATTAAGTCACACACAGGAAGTTCAAAAAAAAGAGGTAGAAACCAAAGAATCAATAAATTATTGACAAATAAGTAACAGCCTTTGGGCATCTGCAACAGAAAGAAAATCTGGTTACTTCAAATATACAACACATTCAAGTTAGGGATATTAAAACTATATGAAAAGAAATGACATAAATACTACAAGGGCACAAATGGTAGATGTTTGAAATATTTTTATGATTAATCATCACTTCATAATAGTCTCATGTTATATTTCTACTATAAATTCATGCAATTATAAAACAAACAAAAAACCCCCACAATCCCAAAAGAACTCTTTATTTATAAAGAGTAGTTTTAATTCACTTCGGTCATAGCAGCCTATAATTACTAGATTAAGTTACTGAAGTATAATCATACTAAACACATATTCATGAAAGAGTACATACTGAACAGAAACCTACATGTATCAAAGACAAGAATGCCTTCAGCACAACAGATCCTTCCGTCCTGGAACAAAGCAGGACAGAACAGACCCACTGACCTAAATACTCCTTTGCACACAGATGGCCAGCCTGCTTTCTAAACCACTTCCCTTTAAAGAACCAAAATAAAATGCATCATTTACAGGTTTTCTAATTTGTCTTTCATATTATCAAAAAAATTACTATTTTTTCCTCACACTCAAGCAACAAATTCTGAATACTGCACTTAATCTCCTCTACATTTCCTAACAACACCCTTTTCTCTTTTTCTTAACTAAGAAAATAAAAAATGGTTAGATTATCAGTAACAATGACCTATTAAGAACTTCTACACTACAATTTTTAGGTGATAAATTGAATACTAAATACTATCACTGTGACAAATGTTAAATGCCATCTAACTAAATGCCAGTAAGATAGCTGGTTGATCTTAGACAAAAATAAAAGGTTAAGAATCTGTATTGATCCCTGACATGTACAACATGCAGCATATATTCTTTATAAGACTCAAAAAATCCCCAAACCAAACCAAACGAAATCCAAAAAAAACCCTAAAACAATGCAAAAGAAAACAAATACAGAAATAAATTTAAACCTTCAGGACTACCAAACTTAGTAGAAAAGTAATTATTTGGAATTTAACAGACAGGAGCAAATCTTTTTAATATCTACTGAACAAGAAGCAGACAGACACAGTTCATAAAGCTAAGTCAGCTTTGAGAAGTCAGTAAGAGAGCTTTAAAATAATCTCTTAGGGCTTTATAATAGCTATCATTATGATACTAGGTGATTCCAAGGTGCTTATGCTCTCCCTGAAGAGTGTCTTAACCTCGTGTAGTCTATAATGAAAGATTTCTTTACTTCTCTGGCTACACCACTTTGGGAGAGCTGGATAAAGGATTTAAGAATCTTTGGGTTCACAAAGAGAATGAGCTAGAATACACCCCAATAACCATGGTGCGCTTTATGATAGGAAAAAGCTGGATTCTCACCCTTCATTTGTGCACCTCGTTGAATTTCTTGTATTTTCAATTTCCGTTAACATTTTCATACCACTAACATCGAAAACAAACACCCCTAAAAACATATGAAGCAAAACTAAATGTCTGCCGATTTCATAGCACTCTTGCTTCATGAAAAATAATATCCAGAAAGACCATTCTTTATTACAAGTTTACTTTCCTGGAAAACTGAAATCATTAGTCAATTTTTAAACTACTATTAACAGTTTAATTCAACTAGAGATATTTGGTTTTACCACCCCAAAGACTATTACTTACACTAGTCTGGTTTGCAAATCAAATAAAACTCCAACTGAGAAATGACACTTTTTAAAAAAAATTATTACTCTTAATTCAAAGTTTTGCTAATGCTCTAGCACACTGATAACTGAATTTTAATGGTAAGTGAATAGTTCCTCAAATACATATGTCTATTTATGAGTTATGTTTGGCTCTCAGTATTAAGCATATATGCTTATCTATATTAAAAATTATTTTAAAAGCATATTATGCACATCAGGACAGATGAAAGTAATACTGAAAAAAACCCACTGTAATAATTTGCTCTGCAAAAAAGCAAAGACCATCCAAACATTACAAACACACCATATGAAAAATAGCTCATTCCCAGTAAGTGTATCAGAAATAAAAAACTATTATTTTAACATTAACTTTAGTACAGGCAAACAAAGTGTTTAAGGAATGGTTATCAATATATATAGTTCTCATCACATCAACATACAAGATCGTAACCTACTGAAGTACCTCTCACGTTTTTCTATGGGGTGGGGGGGCGAAATTACAGTCCCCAAGGGGGTTGGGAAGGAAGTGAATAACTGCAAATGAGCTACATGAAACTACTGTCTAGGGGTGGGATATGAAGTAAAGACATATGAAATCAACCATGTACCTATGCTCAGCAAAGGTTTTGTGTAAATCACATGCAATGCATTAAGAAACAAGGCCTGGGAGACTCTACATTTTTCCAATTACTGACAATAATATTTTCTAAACGCATGCCACATTCCTGAGCTGTTTTCTCCACTAACAGTTTAAAGGTTTTCAGTTCCTAAACAAACACGATCTATTAGAAAAGGCTTATGGCCAAACTCCACCAGCCATAAAAGGTGAGATTCTTCTGAACAAATAAAAGATGGCCACATCTGAACTAGCCATTCTAGTCCCTCTTGGAGGGAAGAAGACATTTCTAGGGTGATTCATCTCAACCCAAAATAGATTCCTACAGTTGGCTAGATGAAATACAACATTTCTAGGGTGATTCATCTCAATCTAAAATAGATTCCTACAGTTGGTTAGATGAAATACAGTCCAAGAGTGCCTATCTCTATTCAGTAATTATGCAAAGACCAAAGTAACTAGCTCAGTCTTGAATATCTACTCTGTAGACATCTAGAGATAAGTGAGATGAATCCTACCCAAGGTGGCTATAGAACTATCATGCAATTCTTAAAATATAACAGCCACAGACAGCACCTGTTTGTGTCACATGCAACAAGTTTAAGCCCAAGACAGTCTTCCAAAATTATTGCCTTAATTATGCACTACCACCCCATGACCCACTCACCCCCCTATGAAAGGTTAGCTTTTCTGGCTAGGTTTACTCCTCACAGGCTTTCCTAAAATGTAACTTTAGTACTAAAACATTATTTTGACTTTTTAGAATCATCAAAAGGAAATCATACAAGATCCAGATACACTCAAAAAATCAGCAGAAAAATACAAGTCATGTAGGTTTTAATAAATAAATAAATAAACTGTCAGCCAGCCCTCCATTAGCCAGTTTAAAAAACTCTAAGACCTATGGGTGGCACTCTTCATAGTCTGAGAATAAATGTACAAACCAGACTTGGAGAAATGTTGCAGTTCTGCAGCTGCTTAACTTAACAATGTGGTAACAGTGGCACAACCTTTCTAAGAATAAGGCGGCACTTTCAATCCAGCTTCCTATTTTGAAACACTTTCTGGCTGAAGGAAAGAAGCTGCTTTCAATTGACATTTCTAAGACCACAGATGCCACAGACTATTAAAATGTATATTTTCCAAATGTATGTTCCTGGCATGCACAAAACCCTTCAGCTAGAAATTCAAGCTTTGACAAGTTTAAAGAAGTCAAACTTATGTTAGAAGTGACTAGTTAAAGTGGCACATAAGGGTTCTTCAGTCTAACTAGATGAGTTATTAAAATTGAAATCTACTCACACAAGCTATTAGGCTGTGTCT